AATGATGATGGCAACATATGTACAAATGTGCCTGACTCAACGGATGGATGTATGGATTGTGGTAAGAGCTGTACCAGGCCCCCAACACAATGACTGAAAAAAGAAAATGCTCGCCACCACAGCCTGTGTCTAGTAAAGCACCGAGCATGCAGACAAGAACGTATTTTAAGTTGGAGGTGGGGGGTGGGGAGAATAAATGAAGTTGATATACTCTACTTAAGAAGGTTAAGTATATAAACTAAAAATATTTTGGTTCTGACATAAAAGTTAGAGAATATTCAGAGTTGGAGATTTTAACTGTGAGACAAAGAATTTTAGCTTCTGTCTTTGATTACAGAAAGATAGCCTTTGATACTCCTTAACACTAATGGTGTAGTGGCTACACATTGGGCTGCAAACCACAAGGTCCATTATTTAAATAATTATTTAAAAAGAACAATAAAATTCTATAAAATAAAGAACATGGCTCATCTAGATTTATTTTTGTTCTATCAATTAAATACTAACCTCTACACCAATTAGTCTACGTTAAAGATCTGGTCAGAATAGAAAGTATACTACCTATGATATTTTTATAAGAAAGACTGTTAAGAAGGAAATTTCATACTTGAAGGCAATATGAACCTCCAATAGAATTTTATTAGGACACAGAATGACCATTTATTTTGTATTTTGTAATGGTTACTTTTTTGCTATAAGAACAGATTTGTGACAGCAAACAAACAGTTTTATCAAGCTAAAGCACTTACCATATGCCATCCATCTCCTACCCAGTTGACCAATAAAAACAGATATTTACTTTGGAAAAAAAAATACTGTTAACTCCTCATATGGAGAAACTGGTGTTTCTGACACACATTTTACTTATTTAAACAGATATTCACTGAATCACTCACTGCTACATGCCGATTCCTACTCATAGTGCGCCTATTCCACAGGGAGAACTGTCCCTGGTTTTGAGACTGTAACTCTTTAGGGGAGTAAAGAGCCTCATCTTTGTCCTGCTAAGTAACATATAGATATGTAGTAATAGACACACACATTGAAGGCTAACAGTCCGAAACAATATTTTGAGACAACATGATCAAGAGTTATAAATATCGTTTATGCATCCTAATGTTCTAAGTACTGTAATAGTTAACACTATATTTATTTACCACTTCCTAGTGGTGACACTGTTGTAAAGACTTTACCTAAAGTAGTCATTTAATCCATAATATGCACTCTTACCCCATTTGGGACAAACTCGATAGCAGCGAGTTTGGCTTGTTTAGGTAGGTACTATTATTGTCCCTCCTTTATAGGTGAAGAAATCTAAGTTCTCAATCCAAATAGGTTTTCAAGGAAAAACAGGTCAAACTCATTCAGTTTGCCTCCAGAGTCCAGCCCCATATCATATCCTATATATCACAGTTCCTCTCTTATTCAAGATAATGGGGGGGGGGGGGGATATGGAAATGTTTAAAAATAATAAAGTAGGGTGTTTCAATACAACATTTTATAACAATTAAAAATGTTTTAACCCCCTGTGGTAGTCACCTAATCTGGTGTCAATTTAAGGATTAAGAGTGTAGGGGTGGAGTCTAGGCTGTCAATCTGGAGACAGCCAATGAGACTTCTGTGTGAGCATGGCCTTCTCCTGAGAATTCTGGGAAATCTGGTCCTTCTTCTTTGGAGGCAGAAGACACCTCTCTCTCCGCTACTCCCTGGGAGACATTGCAGAAGACAAGCCACATGGACGCAAACAGACTCTGAGGCCAGAGAAGCCACAGGGAGACCTGCCAGCACTGAGATGCTTACATGCCACTGCACCCAAAAACTTTCTACCACTGGCCTGTGATCGTCCTGCATGTGGCGTCATTGCTTGTGTTTCGTGAGTCTGAAGAGGGGTTTATAGACTGGTATTGGACATATGGGCTAATATTGGACTTATGGACTTGATCTGGACTGGGCTGGGATGTTTTCTCCGTGTTCAATTGCTCTTGTATATAAACCTCTTTTTTATACACATATGTGTCTCCATGGATTTGTTTCTCTAGTCTACCCAGACTTAAAAAAAAAAAAAAAACACGTCAAAATTCCTAGGTGAATGTCTGACTTAATGAGCTTTTCTAAAGCAAATATTCTAATAACCATTTAGATTAAAACTTAGCTAACTGAAGGTTATGATAATTTGTTAAGTAATGCCACCAGAGGGAAAAGAAACCAAATATTTATGTTTATCTAATAAATACTTTGATTACAGATACTTATATAACAAGTGCAGTATATACTCTTAACCTCATAATTCTGTGGTTTAAAAATATATTAGCACTTCAGGGGCAGATACAAAAGGGCAATCTTTCTACCTAAATTTCTAACCCCTTACCCTCAATCAGCAGAATTCAGAAAAACAAACCAACATCTTATAAACACACAGCTGCACCCCTGATTTTTTTTTTTTGAAATTTAAGTGAAAGTCATGATAGGTTTTACTTCAAGTTAATGTGTTTACATACTTCCACATCCATGGAAATTAACACACGCAAGATATTTACCTGCAGTCATCAGTTAAAATTCATATACAAAACGATCATGATTAGATTGATATGTATGAATTATTATTACATTATCTGTGCTAAAAACCAATAGACACCATAGGGCATGTTCTCTCTCTCTCTCTCTCTCACACACACACACACACACACACACACACACACACGCACG